GGTATAAGCATCACAATCCCAAACCGATCGATCGACCGAATTGTATAGCCGAAAGCGAAATTCATTTTCTCATTCATTTATTATTAGAATTTGACTGAATCAAAAATATCAAATGACGACATCGTCGTTGTCGCTCGTTCGCTCGCTAGCGCGCTCGATCATATAATTTATTGGAAATGAAAAAAAAGCGCGACACTAAGGCAAAAGAGGGCCTTTCGGATAAACACCTGCATATGGTTGGATGGATTATTATTAAGGCATTGGCTCATTTGAATATTGTCGAATTCACTTTCCATTGACTAACCTACAAGACGTTGGCTGCTACGTCTTGAGTACTTTCGGCATCATGACGATATTTTCATTTTGTGTTGATGCTATTTGTTGGTGTTCATGTCTGTTTGATCATTTGCCAAAATAAAATATTTGTATATTTTATCAAAATCCCATTCGTATTGAATACAGTGCGTCGTCTGATGTCGATGTGTTTGATTAGACATTAACATGGCATTCTGTTTTTTTTTTTACATAGAAAACCATTAGCAAGAACTTGCCAATGCTATTTCGTTTCCATGTCATTTCGGCTCGCGATGGTGAATGCGAGGGCGCACTTTTCGATGTGTTTATTTTAAACGGAGAAGCAGAAGAAATAAAAACCGACGACGATGACGACGACGACGACAACGAAACAAAAAATAAATAACACGTTTTTGCCCATTCACAATCAACCGAATGGCTGTTCGCGTACATAATCCGAGAGACGAAATCGATAGTGAAACCAATAATATGGCCATATTTAGTCATCTGTGGGTCATAAAAATATTCTCTCCCTCTATAGAGTGTTGAAGGATAATTCCGTCACACTTGAAACATTAATACATGCTTATAGCGTAACCTAATAGACGGTCATCCGAATTGAAATTCCGAAAGAGCGCGAGACATTCCATGCAGAAAACAAAATAATTAACACCGAACACATTCAAAGTGTACATTTGGGTTTAAATTTTTGTTCGACCGATCTTGACACGACCACAAAACGTAACATGAAATAACATCAATGAATCGTCCCTCCGACCGACCAATCGGCGAGCCAAACGAACAAGTTTCAATTGAAAATGAAAAGATTGGAGGCAGCAATGATAAAAACCGAAAGTGCTTAGCAAAAATTGGAATTCCATTAAGACTGAAAGGTCGAAGCAAAGAGAGAATAAGAAAGAAAAACAAAGCTACCAATATAAAACTGTACACTGGCGCGCTATGTGTACGGTGTTTGCGCGCAAAGCATCGAAGATCGTGACTTTTGTGTCGCTGTTGTAGTGCATATGTTGTGCAACATCCTTTATCTCTTTCGTATATTGTTTCTATCAGAATTGAGTAGCTGCATCAGCTATGGTGCAACGTGGAGAAAAAAAAGAACCTTTTTCGAATGTAGAAACAAGTGATAAAGCGAACAATATCGAGAAATGGTCAATTGAATAATAAACAAGTTGTTGCGCAACAAGAATTCCAATGCGAAAGAGTAAGCAAATGGGATAGTTTTCAATGCGATTTTTATTCCATTATAAAATGCTTTTGTTCAGATTTTGTACGGATGAAAATCGTGGAATATCGCAAAATTAATGCTTAACGCGCAACGCTGTAAATGAAAAATTGTAGTGCAATGCGTTCATGCGGCGAAAAATACAAAGTATGACATCATTTGATTGGAATGATTGTAGTTGCCTACAAAGAAACCATTCGGCGGCTTTACGGCAAAACTTAACAAACAATAACAACAACGACAACGACGACGACGACGACGACGACGACGGTGACGATGACGACGAAGGAAAAAAAATTGTGACTTTGCTTAAAGTACACTGAGCTTTATGGTTGGGATATGATGAGCACCGATGTGATGCGTGCTTGAATATTACACGAAATGCAAGACAATGATCGTATGTAGATTTTTTTTCTTTTGGCATATTTTGTGTGAGTTTGCGCGAGTGAGCTGGCAAGCAAATGGGTAAACATGTGTACAAACGACGAGAGCAGGCGCGCGCCATTGCGTTCACGCTCATTCACTGTGCATGATTTTTGAAAAACGTTTTGTTTGTAGCAATTTGTACCTTTCTTAAATCGCCGTCCGTTTTCCATGTGTCAAATTATTTTTTATTCAGTCGGCGTGTTTCAACCGATGATGACTATTTTCTTTCGTTTGTTTTCATTCATTTCGTGTGTTCATTTCATTTTTTTAAATATAAACTATGATTATAATTATGTCATAGCTGTATTCGTTGATTCATTATGATGAAAATGAATTTTTAACAGATTTTATGCGGCGAAATATCGCATGACATGCATCAGGCCGAATCTTTATTAAAGCATTTTAATTTGTCATTCAGGATGGAGCCCGTTTCGAGCAAATTGTACTGAAAATGAAAAAAAAAAAACAGTTTTGCATGTGTAAACATCGATCGCCTAGACAGACCGTCATTCATTCGAAAAAGGTTGAAAGTCATTTTCAGCCATCGAAATAAATGTACACATTATTTTGCTACATAACATTAACATCGAATTATCGCATGAAATCAAACGATTAATCAAACGTTGTGAATTTTATCATTGGGAAGTCAGACACAAAAAAAAACAAATCTTGCTGAAATCGCGAAAGGTGATGATGATTCTTTGAAAAGGAAAAAAAAATTCGCGCCGACATTTCAAATACGATTGATTTAACCATATGCGGGGCATCATTATATTTTTCTCTGCATATGAATGAATGATTGATTTTAACAATATGATCGAGGCACACAGGCAAGAATATTATTCGTTTTCACCCAAAAATTTATGGCTCATCCAACACAACTTATTTGTTTTTCCGTTTGATTCGCTCAAACATGGTTTCGAAATGAGTTAATTCGATATAAATGTAAATTATACACTTTCGAAACAGCAGAAAAAAACCAAAATCAAACGAAAGTGCTGATAACAGATGATTAGATTCTATCGAGTTATCAATCGAATCGGGAAACTGTTTGAATTATCATACGATCGGAAGAAAAAGGAAAAAGAAGAATACGGGGGAAAATGTGAAAGCCCATTATTTTATAAAGAAAATAGTCCAAGATGCGTCGAACTTGTGTCAACTGAAAGAGATTATGGAATTTGTCATATCTGTGAACAGAAATAACAAACACACAAAAAAACAAACGGAATATAATTTTTCAATGTAATTGAATTTCACTTTGATGTGAGGTGAGATACGGCCGTTACATCGCACTGTGAAATGTATGCAAATATTGTATGCGCGATGGTCACACAGTCTATCTTTCTCTCGCCGCAGACGTATGCTGTGTGTGTTTGAGCATTTGTTTTCCAAGTTGAAATGAAGAGAGAGAGAGAGAGAGAGAGAGAGAGAGAGAGAGAGAGAGAAAACGTATGTGTATATATAGCAAAGAATTGACATCATTTTTCGCCTCAATCAACTTATGTATTCTCGCATTGCCATTGTATACGTGCACTTGCCAAACGCGCTTTACATGCCATTCTTTTGTCATCGTTTTCTTCCCGTTTGCTCAATTCGGTACCCAAGAGCACCGACAAAAAAAGAATTAATACACATACTTCATTTGAAATTCGTGTGTGGTGTTTTTTTCTTTTCGCTGTTTCTCTCCTTTGGCCAAGGTGTGGTTTTGTATAAATTCATTGCAATACATGAACAGTTCGAAGCTCATATAAGACAACGCGCGCGCGCGTATGGATGTCAATCTTTGCAGGCGATGGAATGTTCAAAATGGTCGTTTTCAATGTCTTCAACGAAAACAAAAATACTTGTTATCTTGGTACAATTTCTAAAGCTCCAATTGGTTCACAAAGAACAAGTGACGAACAGAAAATGAAGAAGAAAAACCAACGTGAAAAATAATGCGAACGCTAACGATAGTAGCAAACAATGGACGTGTCAAGAGAGAGAGAGAGAGAGAGAGAGAGAGAGAGAGAGAGAGAGAGAGA